AGTCAGCTTGTCCTGACGAAGTTAATTATTATGTCCGTCCACACATGTCCACACATGTCCCTCATGTTACACTAACACTGCCAAAGTCTACTGTTTGGTTGCGCCAGGCGGTTTCGAAATGTTTAGAACAATCAGGAGTAGAGGTTGGGCCATGATTGGCTTGTGGTTGGTTGGTGTTGGGGAGTAGAGCAGCAGTGTCAAAGTTGACTCAAATATAACTCAAAGTTGATTTGATCCATATTGAAACTTTAGGTAGGCGTGGCCTTAATCTGGTCATACTGTTCCCAAACATTAGCCAACCTTGAATGGTTGGTGGTCAGGTGATGATGCCTTTGTGTCACAAACTCTTGCTGCCAGGGGTGGCAAATGTTGGGCAGACTGGCTGCCAGAGGCTTGATTGAATGGTCAGGCTAGCTGGGGGAGGTTCTGAATGTGTGACAGGCTTAAATGACTCCTTAGTTATATATAGCTGTTACACAGTTTGTGGACTTACACTCCATACATAAACTTATGGTTTCCTTTAGGTGCAGAATGTGTGGTGCTGGAAATAACAGGCCCCATCACTGATGCCGACCAGATTATACAACAGTACAAGGATGCCCTGGAGAAACATCCCAACATCAAACTAGCTGTCATAGGTGAGAAACATCCAACATCAAACTAGCTGTCATAGGTGAGAAACATCCAACATTAAACTAGCTGTCATAGGTGAGAACATCCAACATTAAACTAGCTGTCATAGGTGAGAAACATCCAACATCAAATTAGCTGTCATAGGTGAGAAACATCCAACATCAAACCAGCTGTCATAGGTGAGAAACATCCAACATCAAACTAGCTGTCATAGGTGAGAAACATCCAACATCAAACTACATGTAGCTGTCATAGGTGAGAAACATCCAACGTCAAACTAGCTGCTGTCATAGGTGAGAAACATCCAACATCGAACTAGCTGTCATGTGTGTTTCCTCAGACACCATCACCAGCCCCACAGCTATAGCCATCCCTGTGGCAGAACTTGTGTCCTTGTGCCACCTGAAGGGTGTCCAGGTGCTGTTGGATGGAGCACACACACCTGGGCAACAGGTGCTACAGCTGGAGGAACTGGGGGCAGATTATTTCACAGGTAAGTCTTATCTAAATGTGACACTGGTGGACACTAGTGTTCTAAAGAATTTCAACTTTGTCACTATGTAAGGCCACACCAATTTAATTTGTTGGTTCTTGGATCCGCCTCTTAATTTTTTTCTGATTTAAAAAAAAAAAGATTCTGGTTCTGAATCAACTCAAATATGGTCATATTTTGTCCCCGACAGTTGAGGAAAGTCCTTCAGTGTTTAAACATAAACCCAGCCTTTTGTGTTGACTTAATAACAGACATCATGGCTGTTATAGCATTTGGGGCTATAATAGGCTGCCTAGACCTGTTTTTATTTTTATTCGCCCTGTCACAAGAACCAACAAATTAAAGTGGTGTGGCCTAATAGTATGTTTGTTGTGGGAACCCTGCACAAGTCGGAATATTTATTTTATTTTGTAGGAAACCTGCACAAGTTGATATTTGTTGTTTTTTATTTGCATGTTTGTTATAGGAACCCAGTTTTTATGTTTGTTTTTATTTGCATGTTTGTTATAGGAACCCAGTGTTTATGTTTGTTTTTATTTGCATGTTTGTTATAGGAATCCTGCACAAGTTGATGTATGTTGTTTTTTATTTGCATGTTTGTGGTAGGAAACCTGCACAAGTTGATGTTTGTTTTTTATTCGCATGTTTGTTGTAGGAACCCAGTGTTTATGTTTGTTTTTTATTTGCATGTTTGTGGTAGGAACCCAGTGTTTATATTTACATGTTTGTTGTAGGAACCCTGCACAAGTATTTTTTTTGCATGTTTGTTGTAGGAACCCAGTGTTTATGTTTGTTTTTTATTTACATGTTTGTTGTAGGAACCCTGCACAAGTGGCTGTTTGCTCCTCGTGGCTGTGCGTTCCTGTGGGTCCGTTCTGACCACCACACTACCGTCCGCCCTGTTGTCACATCCTGGTTCTACCAGAAGGACCTTCAGCACCAGTCAGTACTACTGTTTATGTCTTTTATTGAATTTCGCAAATTTAGGGACACCAAAAAGCATCCGAACCAACTGTAAACAGCCTTTTTTCTGGCATATCTTGCTAACTGCTGGCATTTTGTTCAACATTTTATGTCATACATGTACCTGGGCAGCGATAACGTTCCATATGTACATTTGTATGATCCGGCGGGTGATAACTATGTTTATCACGTGTCACCCTTCCAAATTTTCGACAGAATATTGATTCTTTTTTTGAACGTGTTTCGCCTTAGCTGCGTGCGCCGCTTTTGAAAATTTGAACACTGGATTCCAAGGTCGTTGCAATTGAAGTTAACTTTTTGGTTTTGGGACACCAAATTTGGGCTCATTTTGCATTGAAAGGCATGTTTTGTTGGGTATGGCATAAGATATAACACGGTGTATTCCGTATCTTCCTTGGTACCAGCCCGACCGCGGGTCGGATCGCCCAAAGACCCAAGGGAGGGCTAGTACCGAGGGTGATACAGAATACAGACTCAATACACCATATTCTATCTAAGAAAGTTAGTAATAATAGTATGTTGTTTTGCTTTATATATGTCATATATGATACTTTTTTTTTTGTATTTCGTTTTCATTTCTTTTTGTTTCTTTTCACACTTTCTGTAACTTTACACCTGTAAAAAAATTATGACTTTACAAGGTACCTTCCAGGACCTATATTATATATTAACCAAATTTAGATGGTACTGGGAGACCTTACTTTCACCGATCGTCACAGTAACTAATGTTCAAACTAAATCAAAAGTTTGGGGCTGCAAGAACAATGTAGTCATGCTGTTTTGAAGGTTCCATAAGCAGGGCACGAGGGACGACACCCCGTACTTCTGTCTACCTGCAGCACTCAACTTTCACAGGGAACTTGGGGGTCTTGTAAGTTCCGGAAAGTTAAGGCCACAACAATTTAATTTGTTGGTTCTTGGATTTTTTCAGAAAAAACATGAAGCGACGGGGCAAAAAATAATAAAAATAAAAACAAGTCTAGGCATCCTATTATAGCCCCAAATGCTTCGATAGGAGCCATGTCAACACAAAAGGCTGGGTTAATATTTAAACAAGGAATTTTGAACTTTTAATAAAACCACTGCATTGATAGATGGAAAAACTGTTACAATTAGGAAGAAAAGGACTTTCTTCAACTGTTGGAGGCAAAATATGAGGATATTTAATTTGAGTTTATTGAGAACCAGAATTTTTTTGCCAATTTAGAAAAAAATGAAGTGGCGAATCCAAGAACCAACAAATAAAATTGGTCTGGCCTAACCATGCAAACCGCAATCAGGCCTAAACATGGGAGAATACAGCTGAATCATCTGTACTTTAATTTACTGTCAAATGAATGAAATCATAAAGCGGATTAAAGTCACATCAATTTATTTTCTTGCTTTCAATGTCAAAATTTAGTGGAAGGTCAATGTGAAACACTTCAACTTCAGACTACATGACATTGTGCTCCATAAAACTGTACCAAGGTACAAACGGGTGCCAAAACACCTGATACTCTGTTAGTCTGGCTGAGAACCAAGAAATAAGGCTGGTGTGGCCTTATCCACAAGTAGAAGTCTCTCTTCATCCAAAAGCATTACATTCTATATTCACAACCACTTGTTTTATTGTCTTCATTTGGTTAACATTGGGTCCTGTCCGGTAAATTAACTTTTCTTCCTATTGTCCCAGCACTGTCCCAAAAATAAATTTCAATTGTCCTGAAATTGAGGATGAACTGTCCCAACCTGTTTTCTGGAAAGTATTGTTTGACTTCAACTTGAAGTCAACTTTATTTTGCTTATGTTCACTCCTAGGGGCACTATAATTACAGAGTAGACAGGAAATTTGGGGAACTTTTCCGCATACAAAAGCTAGGACGTCTGCTCGATAAACAAAAGAAGGGCTAACATTCTCATCGGACTGATGTTTATTATTTTTCTATTGTCCCAAATACATGTATGTCTGAAAGCGTCTTTTTAGCTGTCCCAGCCTGAATTTTAGTGGTCAATGGCCCACCTTTAATTTTGAGCCCTCAGTTGTTACACAAGTGGTTATGTATAAAGCATGTTACCCTCTATGCATGCATTTTTGTAGCCTCGTGGTAAGGCCACACCAATTCAATTTCTTGATTAACGGATTTTTCTCCTAAAAGAATGGAGCGGGCGGGCGAAAAAAATAAATAAAAATAAAAACAGGCCTAGGCATCCTATTGGCCCAAAATGGTACGATAGGAGACATGAAGTCAACACACCAGGCTGGTTCAAAATTTATTAAACAATGAATTTTGAACTTGAATAATGATACCACTGCATTGAAAGATGGAATAACTCATTAACTGTAACAACTAGGATGAAAAGGACTGTTTTCAACTGTTCAGGGCAAAATATGAGCATTTTGCAGTTGATTCTGAACCAGAATCTTCTTTTTTTTTGCAAATCAGAAAAAAATTAAGCAGGCGAATCCGTTAACCAAGAAATTAAATTGGTGTGGCCTAAGTCAGACTTTCTGCACAGGTTCCATATGCAGGGAACTCGAGATGACTCGGCATATTTCTGTTCACCTGAAGCCATCAACTTCCATCGGCAGTTAGGGGGCCTTGTGAGTGTTGAAAAAATCCTTCCCTTCAAAGTAGTGAAAGAAATGAGAATGCAACAATTGTTACAGTCAAACCTGTCTAAGCCGGCCACCCAGGGGACCAAAGAAAAGCGGTCACCTTGGACAGGTGGTCTCCTTGAAGAGGGTCGCCTCACAACATGACTCACTCACACATAAATGGTTTCCAAGTTGAGATGTTTTAATGTCAAATGCTGTAAGCATGTTTGAAGTTCTGTGGTGAATGCATGTGGGGAGGGTGGCACACGGCAACAATTTATGTCAAACAAAAAAACAGTGTCCAGCAGTCGAGGTAAACTGGCTGGTTTCTCCATGATTTCTGATTAGTTATCATCAATGATCAACAATGATGTTGTCGCCATGGGCAGGTATTGGGCCTTGAGTGGACCCAACTCACGGTGGTCGCTTTGGCCAGGTGGTCACCTTGGACAGGTCACTTAATTGGGCAAATTTTTGTGACCGAGAAAAAACTGTCACCATGGCCAGGTGGCCTGTTTGAAGAGGTTACCTTGGCAGGTTTGACTGTACAGTAGTTAGTTTGAATTGGTACATATTGTAACGGAGCGTCCAAGGTGCACAGACTAGTTTGTCCACACACCCAATGGATTCAACGGAACATTCCTTTTTTTTGTAAGAAAAGTCACTTCCAAAGACTTAAGAAGAAGTTAGTTAAGCAGTGCCAGCCTGCCTGAATTTACTAATACGTGTTATCAACCCCCCCCTCTCCCTAATTTGCAGTTAAGAGAGCAAGGATTCCCCTATGCAGACCCTCAAAAGATGCCCTAGATAATTGTGGCTAAAATCATTGTCTTCTCCAACTGAAAGTAGAAATAGTCTATGATAAAAATGCATGCTAGGAACACTAGTAGTGAAGAGAGCTTCAAATTGAAAGATCCAACGATGTAGATTGACACAGAAAACCACACAATTTCAAAAACTTTTTTAATACATTTTTTGGCCAGAAAAGTAGTGCCAAAAACTGGAGAAGTTTGATGAATAACTTGGTTAGTTTGATGAAGTGATGCAAAATCATCATTTGAATGGATGTCAGTCCATTGAAGTTTGCCAGAAATGCCCCATTAGCAAGCCATTTAATCTGTGTAGCCCAATACCTGTGCTGAAATCTACCACTGACCTTTGCTGAAATCTTGTTCTTATAATTGACCTTTAATTGGGACATGATTACTGTAAAATAGTTGTTGTGGTGATCCTAAAGCCTCGGTCGCAACCCGCCGTACGTGCTTTTTGCCCACGTTTTTGCACGTAGACAGCACACAGAAGCACGAATGGCGGGTTGTGACCGTAGCTTAACAAAGGTTTCCCAAACTTTAGCCAACCTTGATTGCTACATGTAGGTGTTTGGGACAAGGTTCTGAATGTGTGACGGGCTTAACTAGAACATCATGCAGTGGCTCTCCTGCTCTTAATGATTATATATCTTACACATTATTTCAAGTCAGATGGACTATAGCCACCATGAAGCTCCTTGCCAAACCCTGAAGGTGCAAGGAATTTAGGGGGACACCCCCCCCCTCCCTTCAAGGGGGATCTAGCCGTCTGAAATTGAAACCCTCAGAAATTTCCAAAAATTTTTCTTGGCAAATGCCCAGTTGACAATCAGAATATTATTCTGAAATTTAGTAAGTTTTAATTTTTCATGGCTGAAATTTTGGTCCATCCAAATTATAGAAGGAAAGTTCCTTCCAAGAACATCCAGGGCTCAAAAGTCATTTTTGGGAATTTTTGGAAACCTAAAAAATTGGGTGTACGAAAAAGTATTTCGAGCCCTGACATCTAATGATTAGGTGCTGGAGAGAGCACTGGTGAGGACATTTGATGGATAAACATACTGTTGAATAGCCTGGGTACCATCCTATATTGTATGCTGGGGCTCCCATACTCGCTCCCTATAGAAATATTTCTTAGGGAGTGATACAAATAGGATGGTACCCAGGTTAACTGTTGAATATAAAAGACTGTGCTTCTGTACAGGGAAGGATAGTGGAGTACAGCAGTCAGCTCCGCAAAGATGCAACAAAACTGCTACTGGATGGCTGGAAGACTGAAACTCTGGGGATACCAGAGGTAAGTATCTCACATACGGTATCATTGCCTGTTCAGTGCCTTCAACATACCAGACGATGCAGTACTTTCTGAAAAGAACTTTAGTTAAAGATCTCCAAGTTAGTTTGGGTCGTAGTAACCAGGGAAGACACACAATGTCATACGTTCGTGAAGGTTAATCATTCAGGATAAAGATAAAGAGATAAAGACGTTGCATCTTTTCGCACTGGATAAATTGAAATTTTAATACGTAAATGTTTCAAGTACCATCCGGTACCCTTCATCAGTACAATGTAGAGGAAATTTGCGGAACAAGAAGGTAAGTTCTAAATAAACAAAAACAGTCAATGTTCTAAAAGTAGGTTCTAAATAAACAAAAGGTAACTGACAAGGTTCTAAAAAAAATGTTAACACACATTGTCATGTTCAGTCCCTTCAGGCTCCCTACATGGAGTGCATCAAGCTGCCCCTCCCCCAGACCCCTGGTGCAGAGTCTCGGTACCCCCCCACCCCCCAGGGGGCCATGAGTCTTCAGTACGACACGTTCCAGCTGTACAGGGTGCAGTGTGCGGTGGTGTGCATGCTGGACGCCCTGTGGGTTCGGATCTCCGTGTTTGTGTACAGCACCAGGGATGACTTCCTCCGGCTCAGGGACGCCGTGCTGGCACTCATGGCCAGGCAAGACTTCCCCGACTTCCACGGGCCGTACTGGCCATATCTCCTCAGGCAGGAGACTGAATAACCATTCAGGTGAGTTTTTATGTTAAGAAGGAAAACATATTGTTTTTGCTCTGTTTCTTCGTCTTCTTCTTCACCAAATAAGGTCATGACCTGAACCAGACGTCTGTCACCATGGTAACTGGTGTTGGGTTACATTATGTTGCAATTTTATAGCAGGAGGGATTTAGACTCTTGGCTGCCCATATACATGAATGTGTTTGAGTAAGAATTAACAGAGCAGACCATGTGTGAAGGTAGACAATATGCATTTGCTTTGCAAATGTTACCTTTCTAGTAAGCTGTAGCTTTGGTTTAGCTACATGTACAGTCATACGTACGTGTATAATATAACACTTTTTAAATGACTGTATGTAAATGTACAGATTCTGTTGCTTAGTTGTGTGGATTCACATAATACCTCATAATTATTGCTATAACTAGAAAGTGTGGCGCTGTGTGCATGATGCTCAATATCAATATCTACATGACTAGTTATTATCAATATCTTTTTTCCTTGCTTTACAGGTATCACAGGCAAAATAAAGCAAGAGAACGAGATGGAAACAAAAGGAATTTTTAGCTTTATATAATTATACAGTTGACCTTTTTGGTCAGGATTAATTTCTGATTAAACAACTAATTACATGAAATTAGCATGGCCTTCTGGAAAATTCACCTAACCATGCATTCAGCCAGTAAACCAAACAACCAGCAAACCAACCAACCAGCCAGTAAACCAAACAACCAGCCAACCTACCAACCAAATAATCAACCAGCCAACCAATCAACCATTCAGCCAAGCAACCAAATAACCAACCAGCCAGCCAGCCAAGCAACCAAATAACCAGCCAACAAACCTATCGACCAACCAATTAATTGATCAATCAATTAACCAATCCATCAGTCAATGAAACTAGTAAGTGTAAACTTCAAATTAGCTTTTAAGATTATTTTATTATATATACATGTATTTAAAGTATGTTAATATATATGATTTTATATTAACAATTATATATAACAAGAAAAACAGCATTTATGAACTTCCCTGCCACAGCCAGACAGTTTTACCTCATTGTAAGAGAAAAGTATGATCCAAGTAAATATGTTTTCTTTATTGTAATCAATAATGGTCAGGGGTTTTTCTGAACAGGGGAACAAGGGCGCTGCTTTTTTGCCCTCATGTAACAAACCAGCGCCCTCATATCAATTTTCAGATTGAAGTCTAAGTCTTTTCAAATCATCTTTTCCA